TTTTTTTTTTTTTTTTACTTTTCCCAAGAGTGTTTAGGTTTTTTTTCAATATCATTTGAGGTTTTTTTTATAAAGCCACTGTAAGTGTGACAAGCTGCTTCTGCTTTTGTTTTGCACAGGATGGCAGTGTATTTACATTTGGAGATAACAGTGCTGGACAGCTGGGCCATCATTTTTCTGCCATGAAAAGTGGTCCACAAAAGGTTGAAGGGATAGATGGTCCTGTTTCCCATTTAGCATGTGGAAGGTGAGTATTGTAGCTTGTATCTTGTCAAACCAGTTATATTTTGCCAGAGAAGGGGAGTATTGTTTTTGAAGGAAGCTAGACCTTGAGCATTCTTAACCAGAAGTGACTGTATTGAAATAAAATACACCAAAGCAAAGCCAAGGTTGCACAATGAAACCCACAGGGTCAGGAAATGCAAAAAGTGCTTTCTAGTTGTGTGAGACTATGAGCACAGAAAAACACTCCAGCTAAGCTGGCCCTTAGGATATAGGTACAGCCATTTGTACATGCAGACTAGGTACTCATGGATTCTGCTTTCTGGGGGGTTTTTGTGGATGATCTCCAGACAGCAGTTATTAGAAGGTGCTCAGGCCAGAAGTGTGCTATAGTATGACATAGAAATATGCAGTCCACTTACGATGTATAGAGCACTTCATTAATGGGTCCAAATGCAAGCCAAGGAGAAGTCAAGTAAGTAAAGCAAATGAGATCTGATCAGGATGCAGTAGTATTTGTAATAGATTTTATAGACATTAGGGCTGGAAGGGACCTCAGAAGATCATCGAGTCCAGCCCCCCGCCCAAAGGGCAGGAAGTCAGCTGGGGTCATAGGATCCCAGCAAGATAAGCATCCAATTTGCTCTTGAAGGTGTTCAATGCAGGTGCTTGAACCACCTCCGATGGCAGGCTGTTCCAGACCTTGGGGGCTCGGACAGTAAAGATATTCTTCCTTATGTCCAGCCTGAAACGGTCTCGCAGTAGTTTATGACCGTTCAACCTCGTCATCCCTTGGGGCGCTCTGGTGAACAAATGTTCCCCCAGAAACTGGTGGTCACCCCTGATAAACTTATAGGTGGCCATCAGATCACCCCTGATCCTGCGCTTTTCCAAGCTAAAGAGCCCCAAGGCTCTCAGCCTGTCATTGTAAGGTCTGTTTTCCTGACCTCTGATTATGCGCATGGCTCTTCT